TGGGACCCCCCCGCCATAACCCCCCCCCCCCCCCAAAAAAAAAAATTGAAGCTGCCATCATGACAGCCAGGTAATTAGCATTTTCAGGAGACGACATCAATGGCAGCCTACACGTCCCTCTTTCTGGAATAAGGCCAGTGGTCTATGAAAGCTTAGGACTGTCATCTTCAGCAGCATCCCTGGAAAATGAATAAGCGGCCGTATATTCCCAGCCAGCATTATCGATCAGCCTGAATGGCTCATTACCCAGATGGATAATTGTGCTCAGACAGCAGCACCTGCCCCACAATGCTTTGTACTGCGCTGTTCAGCCCTCTGCCATTTCCCGATGACAGCCAGCAGCATCATGTGCATCATATGAGCAGCTGCAGCAACGTGACCCGTCCGCAGCCACAGGGAGGCACTGACAGCTCCGACTCGGGGAGGAGAACACAGCGCAGCATTGTGTCAGCTGCAGTGCAGCAACGTCCAGAGACCAGGCAGTAGCCCAGGTAAGACATATGGCTTACAATCAGATAACTGATCCACAGGGGAAGCCGGGGCTATTATATACCATCAGACATCATGCACTCCTCCCCATTGAAGTCAGCGATCTGTCACTGCCACCATCTACCTGACTGTCCAGGTGATCAGATGCCGCAGATTAGTAATTCTGATGGATCCATGTGTCAGGGAAGTAGGTGAGACTATAATGAAGACCAGGAGTAGGTGGTAATGTCATTATCAAAAAGGTGAACGCCCAGATCAAAAAGGCTTAGGGAAGTCAGTTAGCTGAGAGGTAAGAGGGAGATGATAACTGATCACTTGTGGTGGTGGTGGTGGTGAAGGTCTTCCCATACTGATGTCCTCCTTGCTTTTTCCAATTTTTAGGGCATAAGGGAGCAGATTGGGACCTCTGCTTCTCTGCTGCATAAATCATGGGGCCACTTCAAGACAGCAAGGTGAGATCAGACTTTCCTTATCTTTAATATAAGGTAATCCACACCTTTCCAGATGCTGAGGAACTACAAGTATCAGCCTTGTGGTTCCTCCACATCTTGAGCTCGCACATTGACAGAGCTTATGCAATTTGTGCTGTGCTGTTTGTGTTGCTTTGCAGTTTATTGCATCACCCTTTTGCAAATACACCATGTACTGATTTAGCCTTTAACTGTTCGTAGGATATATGTGTTAGATGTCTGCCATAGCTGTGACATGTCTCATATAAAAGCTGATCGTTATAAAAATATAGGCTTGGGAAAATGTCTGGAATATTACGGGATCTATTGTCTTTGCAATCCGTTTAAATGTAGGAGATTGAGTATTCTGCAAGATGTCCACCGGTGTTTGGGTGTTGTCCTTAATTTTCATTGTTACAGCGCAGATGAAAGCTTCAAAGAGTGGCAATAAAATAAGTCGTTGTAGTTTTCAGTTAAAAAAAAAAGTGTGTCTTTTTGTTGATGAAAGGGGATTGTCCACCTCCTAGTATATAGTTTGGGATACATGCTGGAAAATATAGGCAGCATCAAATATCATCTTGGATCCATCTTGGCTCCTTCATTGCCAATTTTCACCTATGCCAAGACCATTGCAATGGGTTCAGGTCCATGCTGGATTTATAAGTGTCATCTCTACGAAACTCCTAGTTTAGATTTGGATGGATGCTAGAAAATCTAGGCAGCATGAAATGGCCCTATCTTGGCTGCTTTATTGCCAGTTCTAGCCAATTGCCAGAGCCATTGTTGCAGTTTGGTCAGGTCCATGTTGGATTTATTTGGGTCATCTCTATGGGAGCCAGGCATATACTTAAGCACCTGATGGTTCTGGATTCCTCCCGTAGCCTGATTTCCAGAAGACGTAAAAGATCTGAAGGGGCCATTTTGTGTACACACACAGTGTGAGGGCTCCTACCACCAAACTAACACCACACCCAGGTCTCTAATAATGGCAGCCTGTATAAGGGTTACATACAAGCCAGGGACCTGACAAGTGTTGCCCTACCCTGGGCATGTACAATAGGTCTCTTACTGAGTACCCCAGGCCTCCTTGGAGGGAAGTCCTCTAAAAGAAGAGATGACATTGGGACAAAAAATAAAAACCCTTGCCTGTGATCAAATCCGAGTGTCCAGACAGTAGTTTGGTCTTCAAGATTCTCCCTGATAACAATATGAGGAATCTGACTCACATTTTCAAATGCAGAGCTGAGGTCAGTGGTATAGTGATCTCATTAGTATGGTAATTGTGCTAGTCATTAGAAGATATGAGAAGCTTTTGCTGAATAGGCATAATGACAGAATCCATTTAAACCTCCAACATTGTATCTGTAATCAGAGTGTCCTTATTGAATGTACTGACCCTTTAAAGCAAACCTGTCATAAGAGAAACACGAAGGCTGCCATTGCTCACCTTCCCATTTGAAAATGCTAGTTTGCTGGATAGCATGCTAACCCTTTTGCTTCGTTACCTTGAGTCTCTCAAAAAGTATCCAGGTAAAGAGTTCTGACTTTTTTTTAACCTTCCTATTTCGCCTCCTTGTTTCAGATCAGCAACTCAAATTTAATAAAGCCAGTGGTTTAGCATAACAACCAGGCAACTAGCACTGAAGGAGATAAGCACTTTGTATCCCCTTCTTACTTTATGGCAGTCTTGGCTTTAGTTTTACTGGTGGAGAACTTTGGCACCTGTAAATGAAAATATTGGGATTGGTATTTTCTCTGAATGGAATGAACTACCTTCCTGATTTTATAACAGAAGTGCCATTGTTGACTTCTAATTCTAAAAATGGTAGTCTTTTGGCTGATTCATTAGTTTCCATATCTACGGAGTCAGAACTAGTTTGAAGTGCAAGATTTCTGACTTCTTTAGATGGATGCTTGTTCCAAGTAGGGTAAGAGTCACTCCTAATTCCTTCAGCTGTTTGCGTTAATTTCAGCTTGAGCTATTGAGCTCTGTAAACTCTCTTTATAAGCAATCAGCTAAGGGTAGCCCGGTAAACAGAACCGTCATGCTCCAGCTGTCTAATAAATATGTATTTGCAGTGTGCCTTGTATATCTGAATAAAATACATTATTCACCATACTTTAAGACTAAAGCTGTTGGCCATTTACATTTTGAAATAATCCTGTACAAAGGCAGTTATAAGATGGCTTATATTATATATCTCAGGGGTGGACAAATTATGGGATTTGGGAGCCAGGTAGTCCAAGCCAGGACCCAGCAGGAATTTTTATTTTTTTAGGAGCTAGCTCCATTGACGACAACTACTGCAACCTGGCTTGGGGTTAAGGTTGTGTTCAGTGCTTCGAATACCTTCTGAGCTGAGTGCGTTCATTGAGACAATCAATGAAACATGGAAGGGTTATTATACAGCACAATGTCACTAGATAAGTAGCCCTAGTCCCCCACAGAACACCCTTGGAATGTTTCCAGTGTACTGTCATCATCTCCTATGCACAGACCGGGACCTCAGCTGTTAAATTGACATCTTGTCCCTGATCCCTCCCATCTCTCGAGCATCCCTATTAATCTTTAAATCAGAATTGTAAGTCCGTGGCTCTTTTACATGATAGGCAAATACTTGTGTATCATGGCAGTCTTGCCTTCCTCAAGCACTGACCGAGCAGTGCCTCACCAATGTGCTGAGCTGCAAAAGAAGACCGTTTATACTTGCCTCTCCCACCACCTGGGAACTGACACACTTCTGGGTGAGTTGGATGCCTGCGATCCTTGACATCCAATGTGGTTCTATTTGCCAGCCATAATTTTGCTACAGGACACCATGCTGGAACCACACTGCACAGCGAGGGGTGCAGGCAGGTAAGCATAAACGCTTCGCACATTAAATATTTTGTAAGGTAAAGGTATAATTTTAAGCAGCTTGTCTTGTGCTTAGTTTAAATAGTTTAAACTCAGGTTTGTGACCAGTTTACATTAAAGCTGATCTCCAGGCGGATATACAAGACATAAATTATTGGCTCTAGGTATTCATAATTACATCCTTAAATGTGCATGGGCGTTTTGGTTTTCGCGGTATGAGCAAGGAACCAACCAGCTATTACAGTGCATGGAGCATGCTGATAGGAGGACAGAGAAGGAGAGAGAACAGTGAGAGAGAGATGAGCTCATCTGTCTGCTGCTTCTCAAGTCACTGTCCAGTTACACGGTTGGGGAGAGACTTACAAGAGTTGCTGGACTATATTAGATAAATCAGGTCTCCTGCCCTGCCAGGTGGGGCTGTGCTTTGTGGCTGAGATGTGGAAATCTATGACCTGGATGGACAAAAATACAAATCCTTTGTAAGTAAAACAGCTTCCTTATATGTATTTCTGCTATGCATTTACTGTTTGGATAGAGGTTCAGCTTTAAGTGTAGCATTTGTATGTTGGGTTCTCTTGTGTAGTGGCCACTTTTAGCAGCTACTTGTAACATTCTTCATATGAGATTCATAAGCGGTTGCTGGTGGCAGTGTGTATTTTGTAAAGTGTTGTACTCGGTTTCCTTGGATCGCATTCCTTTTAATGTTTCCAGTGCTCTCAGGCTTTCTAAGAACAGCAAGTAACAGCATGCCGAGCCAAGACTGAAAACAGGCTCCCTGCCGAAAGGGCTTTCATTTGTATAAAATATGACTTTAACCTTTCTGATGTATTCCTGGAATTCTCTTCTACATCCTGGTTATTGATGATCTCTTTTTAATGAAGTCCTCAACTTATATTCAGGATAAGAATCTTCGAAGCCAGGGCCATCTGCTACTAAGTTACTAATACTAAACTTGTCATGAAGGAAAAGCTACTGAGCTAACATCATCCTTTTAAAGGGGTTTATTTATAAATGTTTTCACACAAGATTCATACAACGTTTACCCAGGATTCATACATTTTCCCAACTGAATCTAATTAGCGAAATGTGTGAATCTTGTATGAAAACCTTTATAAATCAACACCAAAGAACATATCTAGGCTTAAAGTGCTCTTAAACCCTCCTTGTTAAAATATAGATTTATTGCCATACTTCAAGTACTTGTGTTGCTGCTGTTTTGTTTTTCACTTTAAGACTTTAAGAGCCTCTTAGCAGGAAAATCTGTCTACAAAATCTAGATCGCATCATGTTCCCCCTAGAGGGTCGTGTCATTGCCTTGCAGAGCCTCCCTGGGACCACAATCACGTGCGCGCTCCCAGCACGGCACCAAAAAAATCAATCAGCAGATCGTAAATTGTAACGGGCATGTATGCACAAAGGGGTGTGTAGTGAATCACAGGACATTTATTAATAATAATGTGTGTGTATGTGTATATATATATCTCTAGGACCCTACAATCAGGGCTAGATTTCCATTTTTGGTGCCTGTAGGCACGAATAGAAATCTTTTTAGCCTGAGCAGGTGCCCTTACCTGGTGCAGGACCCGCCAGCTTTCACATATGCAGAGAAGGACCCCTGCATTGTGTAAGGCTGCTTTAAATGTCTGTCCACATCAGACAGGCGTTTGCGCAGCCTTGCGCAGTGACCGGGCTTTCACCCTACGTTTGCGGAAGCTGGCGGTTTCTTCCGCTGGTCTTTGAGCAGGAGGGTGCATTTTGTGCAGAATCTTGACAAGGCAGAGTAGGTACCTGCACGGCGCCCCTCTATGGAGGGCGCCTGAAGACACGTGCCTACTTTACCTATTGTTAAATCCGGCCCTCCTTACAATCTAAGGTCCCGATCTCACACACCTACTAGGGCCTATTTCAGACAGGAGCCAATTGACCTACTAGCATGTCTTAGGAGTTTGGGAGGAGACAGGAGAACCCATAGGAAACCCACGCAAGCACAGGGGAGAACATGCAAATTCCTTGCAGATAGTTTTCTGACCGGGAGTTAAACCTTGGATACAGTGGAACAACAAACTGCAGATTAATTTGAGCAGTGCACGCTCCCTGGCTGGGAGTTCCAGGTACAGCAGCAAGGACACTGGTACCAAAGTTTTGGGGGCAAAATAAGCTTAAGGCCTCATTCACACTGCCGTGCAATACGCTGCGTATAGATGTGCACAGCGTATTTTTTTTCCATATTCAGCATATGCAAATAAATGGCTCCATACACATAGCTGCATATGGAGTCGTATATTTGTGCTGCGTAAATATGCACAAAAAGATGGACCCGAGATGCTCTATATTTCTATGTATTTTACTTGCGTAATATACGTGTGCGCGTATACGCACGTACAGTAAAATTTATATTCAGAATAATGCATTCTGGGATGGCATACAGTGCACTGATATAAACTGAGTGGCCAGATTATTATGACCACCCCATCAGTACTTCGTTGGGCCGCCTCGTGACTCCACGAGATGTTGAAAGGTGATGCGAGGAATCTGACACTGCACTGTTGCCCTTCTGTTGTCTTGTACCAGTCTTGCCACTCTCCGTTCTGCCCTAACATTGACTAGTCGCTGGCGGCCACAATTCGCACGTTCAGAACCAGATTTTCGGCTGACAGTCCGGTCTTTAAACACTTTAATAACAGCTGCTCTTGAACATTTAACGAATTCTGCTGTTTTGCTCATATTCGCTCCATGGCTCCGAGCGCCAACAATCATCCCACGTTCAAAGGCTGTTAAATCGTGTTTACCCATATCTTCAGGAAAAAATCACTTCTACTGTCGTGGTAAACAACCTGCTTCCCTATTTATAATGGTCTGGCCCTCTAGCAACTTCAGTGCAAAATTATAGCTAATTTGCCTACAATCGTCAGGTGGTCATAATAATCTGGCCACTCAGTGTACACGTATATACATATGCGTATATATGCAATATACAATTTTGCTCTCGCGTTGTGTGTGCATGAGGCCTAAAGGAACTGGATAATAAATAGCAATGTGCTGCTGAAGAGAAAAATGCTTTTTATGGTTAGGGTTTAATACTATTTTATTAATGTTCTTTTAACCTTGCATAGAATAGGAAAGGGTTAAAACCCCTTTCAGGTTTCTTTCTGCTCTTTGGTTACCACTGGGAAGATCTGCTTTTACTTCCTGTCCAAACAGGGTGTATAACTTTTTTGTAAAGTTTTAGAATACGAGACAGCAGTTATAGCCTGCAGATGTCATCTAAAGCAAAGCATGTGCTTTGCTCAAGGCAAAATCCAAATCACAGGGTATTTAAAGGAGAACTATGAGGTGAGTGCTTTTCACTCCTCATAGTTCTAGCCGACCTGTGACAATGAGACTGTCAAAGGTCGGCTTTAGTAGATCGGTAGGTGAGCGAACATATACCGGCGTTCGCTCACCTCTCGAATCTGTCACGGCTCTCTGGATTCTCCCCTCCCCGCTCCGATCCGCCAGCGCTGACTGATGGAACGGGAGGGGGCAGGTGCAGCTGGCCCTGCCTCTAGATAGGCAGAGCCAGCTGTCAGTCACGCAGCTGGGCAGATCCAGACATAACTGTCGGGATCCGCTTCAGCTGCGGCGTCTCAGTATACCGCGAGCTATAGCTCGCGGTATACTGAGCCTAGGGTGACAGGAGGACGCTAGTTTGTGTCCTCCCGTTACCCTAAGGAGAACTATGGAGAAAAGCCCTAACCCCATAGTTCTCCTTTTAACGTGAACAAGTGCTTTACCTACTTGCTTTAATGCCCACCTCCCCAGCAACACATACTCTCCTTTTGTTCACTCCATTAAACTTATAGGAGCAAATAAATCCTCAGTACTTCAGGGTATGGATGAGCATGTGATTACCTCTGTGTCAGCACTGAGTGCTGAAATATGGTGAAGAGTCTCTACCTTGTGTTAGCCACAATATAAGCAGCTTATCCTACTGCAAGCATGATGGAGCAAAGGAAGGGTGAATGTTATGGCATAACAAGATGACAACTAACCTTTTCAGACAGAGGTCAGCATGTATCAACCTACTTTTGTTTTGCGGGACCGGTTCCCTTTAACTCCTTGGTATGACACCTCTTTAAATTTCATGGTGTTCATATGTAAATTCATTGACGGCATTAAAAAATAAACCTGGAAAGGCCTTGGGCATCACTAATCAATGACTGTTTTCTGTGGGTGACAAAATTAATTAAAAGCAAGTGGAACTGGTTTTGTTTGTTGCCATCTTAATTAAATTTCCGTGGATGTAGGTCACTGTCATGTCCTAATTGGAACAAATTTTGACATGCATTTCATACAGTGATCACAGTAGTTGTTGCTGACTTGTGGCACTGGGGTCCTGAATCTGTATTGAATCTGTATCATGTTTTGTCTATAGTTATAAGGGCTAGTTCACTCCACAAACAGTGCATTCTGGCCCGATTTTGCCGGAACGAACTGGATCGCATCCTGGCCGGCTCGCATCCTCCCCACTGCCCCCCCCCACCTCCCCTGATCACAGTGCTATCACCCACACCCCGGCGCGTGGCTAGGTGCGGTCAGAGAAAAAGTAGTGCATGCAGAATTTTTTCTGAGCACACTGGACTGGAACACAGGCATTGATGTGCCATGTGTTCGGGTGTGGGCGATCGCACTGCGGCCAGGATGGCGGGGCTGCAGTGTCATTGACTTCAATGCACCAACACGCCCCCTCCAGCCCCCGAACGGGATACGATCCAGTGTGATCCGGCATCACATCTGGCTGGAATATACTGTTTGTGGTGTGAACTAACCCCTAAGGGTTTACCCACTAACATTGTGAGATAGGTAAACAAGGCAAACAAAGTGTAGGCAAAGGACTTTCCCCCTGCTACGTTACCAGAAACAAATTCTATGGAGAATAAATATGCAAATATGCAAAAAATTAGGTTGTCAAGCTTGACCATAAATATTCTACTTAAAGCGGAACTGTGCCGCCCCCTCCCTATCCTTTACAGCAAAGTTAGATGCCATCTCTGTCCCTATTTGGATTGCTTGCCATGGTGCTGTACATGTGATCAGTCATTTGAGGGCTTGAAAGTTTGGTTGAGAGCCGAAATAAGCAGACTGGGAACGTTGACAGTTGGCATGACAAAAATAACTGTTTAGGGAAACCGTTCTATTGCAAAAAGCACCTTCTTCAATGGTTGTTGGTGCACCTTTTGTTGGTGCACCTTTTGACTTGGGTTTGGGGAGTTTTTATCAAAGACCAGCTGCCTGATGATCTCCTGGAAGGACTGGTTGATGTCCAGTTCTAAATTTTGGTTTTACGGCTCATGGGCATGTACAACAGGTCACCAGACAGGTGGCTATCCAGGGTGCAGACAGTCTTGGCTGGCCACCTGTCAGGAGGGTCATTGATGCCTAGCTCCTTCAGGCCCCATATGTGGATGAACAGGTGGATATTTAATTTTTATTGGTTGCTACGGTTTCCAGCAATTTTGACATTACTGTTTGCTTTAAATACCCAGGTGTAATTAGTGCATGTTATAAGTTATATTCCTGAACCAGGCCTATTTGCTAAAATTACCTATCTTCATTTTACTGGAACCCTGCTGACAGCGGCATGTTGTCATAGTCTCTAAAAGCTCTTCCATAACACCAGTGTCACGTTACCATAGAAACAAGCACAGAATGTGAATATGTCCTCTATCCTTATGTTTACTCTAAGCTTCTATTCTGCAGACTTCCTCTACCGTGCCACTCTAAACTGTTTTTTTTGTTTTCTTTTTTCTATTCTGTAAATAGAAAATGCAAGAAAAGGAGATTGCCCGGAGTCGAATCCCACGGCTGGTTCTGCGTCCATATTTGCCAAAGCAGAAAGTGTCTCCATCTTCTGAATCCCCATTTTCAGAGGAGGAGAGCAAAGACTTCAACCTTACCTCCAGTCGCTCTGCCAGGACCATAAGTAGCAACAGCTTCTGCTCAGGTAATAATCTGTCTCTTGTGCTCTCTGTTCGTTCTTCTTTTTACCTGCTCTGATCCAAAGGATCAGGTTTGAATCTGAATGACCCCCTGCAAATATTACCATCTCAAGGCAGCAATACATGGGACTACTAATGCTAACTAGGCAACAGAGCTGAAGTCAGTGCACCTTGGTTATATAAAATCTATCATGGCCATATTCTTCAGGTGTTTGATGAAGGCGGGGGGGTACTTCAGTACCATGATTTCATACTGCTCATCCTCTCGCATGGCGTTCCTTCCATCATTTTAAGATGAGAAAGATGGACACCTTTTAGGCACAAGGTGTGCAAGTAAAAGAAACTGTTAGGCCCTGTTATGCAGATAACGAAGATTTAATGCACACTTTTTTTTTTTCTTTTATACTGCCTTTTCAGTGTAACAAATGCAATAATATCGAAGGTTGGATGAGTTTTGTGTGCAGTAAAATACTTTTTGTTAGTTAAATAAGTTTTGCTATAGAGGTCTATGGATCAGGCAAAAATGACAACAGGGATTTGGTTCCAAATAAGGGACAGCCCAAAGGAGGGTGACTTGGGAGCTAAGAGATGGTCAAATGCATTTGGCTGAGAACACTTTGCGTTCACACACAGAGAGGCTACTGGAGTAATGGAAAGGATGAGGATCTTGGCTAGTTGATGAATGCCAGTATGAAAGGTACTTGTCATCTACCTGGTGAATTTCCATCATGTATTTAACATGCTTATTTTCCTTCAATCCTCTCACTAAGCACTCAACTTTAGCAAGATGCCGTAATCGGTATTGTAAGAGTCAGAAGGGACATCTTTCGGGAACAGACAGCAGTTGAATTAAACATCTCCCAGCTGAATGTCGGCCTAAAAGAACACATTTTGGCATGTACCCAGCAGTAACTAAGGAGGCAGCACAATAAGGAAACCTATATTACGGCTCTGTATGGTTAGGCATGCTCTTTATAAACCGAAAGTGTAAATAGAGAATTAACAGATCTCTTTAAGGCCATTTATTGTACATGCTATTATGGCATCCCTAGAATGTCAGGATGAGGGAGACCTGGGGTCAGAGCTGTAACTGTGAACTACTGTACCATAGGCAGAACCAGTACAGTTCTTCTTGCATAATGCTTAAAGGGTCTCGTTTTATGTTAAGCCATTGGACAATTTTGTTAATGTGGTATATTAGTCTTCATTTTTCAAAGAGAAGACGGTAATAAACCATAAACTGCTACTAAAGTCCCAGTCTGCCTAAAGCCCTAAGAAATGCAGAGAAAGGAGTACATACAACCACTACTCTTCTCTACAGAATGCACTCTAGTGTTCAACTGGTAATGTAAGGGGGGGGGGGAGCTTTGCTTGGGACACCACAGCCCCCTGCATTGCCCTGGGGGAGTTGTCTTGTGAAAGCCCTCAAGTTTAAAGGGAATCTGTCATAGAAGTCAAGTGGCTGCTGTAATTGCTCGCTGGTCTTTACTGCCCTGTATTTCTGTTGTCACATTCCCTTTTAGGGCCCATTTATGTTAGGTGATGTGTAAAGTTAGCCTCCAATAAAAAATGTGCTGCAGCACTTAATTATAATTGAATCTGCACCTGTAGTTTTCTCTTACAGACCCCTGAAAAGTCCCACAAATACTTGCTGCATACCTCCCAACTATAGAACTTGAGATGGAGAAGTCGTTCCGGAAATGAGCAGGGTCAAATTGTGCTAGATATTGGATGTGGCTTAAAGAAGAACTCTGGGGAAAATTATTAACATTGCATTGGGGCTACCTCAGCACTGCAAGGGTTAAGTGCTCGTATGTGTCTAGGGAGGAAAATAAAGTTAGTCACCTGATCTTCTAAGCCAGCTTCTAAAACCCCCCCCCCCCCCCTTCTCTGCTCCAGCGGTCTAATGTTCCATAAATGATAACATTCTATACAAAGTGTATAGGACATGAGGACGCCAGGGAATATTCCATCACTTACCTTGCATTAAAGTCGGTGTCCTCTTCTGCTGCTCTCTCCCTCTGTCAGGACTATGCAGACTCTATCAGGCAGGAGATCACTTCACCTCATACAAAGAGCTGGGTGCTGGAGCAAGGGCTCCAGGACAAAGCCCGGACCCATGGGAAGCCAAGATTATGTTGAAATCCAGAGTGAGGGGTTGCTAAGCCTGTTGATCCTGACGGTTCAGTCCACCTTATGCAGCTTCCTGTGATGCTGTGGCACTTCTGTAATAGTGCTTTGGAGTGCCATTCAACGCAAGGTGAAACTGACATTTTACCACGCATTACTGCAAAACAAGGGATGTGAATCTGGCCTTAGGGCCTGTTAACACCATAGTATTCAGCTAATTGCACAATACCACGCGTTAAGATGTATTAATCGCACAGTATGTTGCGATTAACGCAATGCTGTGGTGTGAATGGGTCTTTTAAGGTTATGGCTTTTGGATGTGGCCTGTACTAGTGCTTGGATAGGTTGCTTTAAAACATACCAGTCACTTTGTCATCCTACAGTGCAAAATGCGATTCAGTGTTCTAGTCCTCAGTGCTCCATGGTAGCCTCCCCACAAAGATCATATGCAAGTTCTAAAAAGTAGGTGTTTTCATAAGGCCAGGCATGCATTTTTCCCCAGTGTGACTGTACTTGGACCTTGGCTCTTGGTTACATAGGCCCTGAGCCCTGCATTGTGGTATGGGGAAGGGGGCATGCATATTAGCCCCATACTTTAAAAAAATTGAGATTTAAATGGGCCTGCAGTGGTGAATTTGGCTGGTGGGCTCCAGTGTTCAGTATGGCACCCTGGGGTGACTGCTGTGCTTCTGCTGTGTCTTTAATGTGTCACACAATGCTTTAAAAAATGAATAAAAAGTATGAGTCATGCTAACCCTTCGGAACTAAGCACAAGGCGACAAAGCAAACTAGACAAACAACATCACATTGGAATAGCTGATTCTCCATCTGTCTTTCTGTGCCAAGGGAATGTTATGCAAACTTGCAATGAGTCAATCCTTTTACCAGATTCTTGGAACAAGACAAATATTAGGACAGCTCTAAAACCTACTTCTAATGTAAATAATTACCCTCTGTAGCATTTCAATAAACTCCAGCCTGTAAGTGCTGTCAGCATGTATCTTGTACAGCCACCTCCTGCTAGTAGCATAGGTGTGTGTGCATGCACCTTGTACAGCCACCTCCTGCTAGTAGCATAGGTGTGTGCGCGTGTGTTCCATCTGACACTCCATCCTTCTCTTTCCCTTTATCCATGTGCCTGGATAGCGGCCACCAGGCTCAGATGTCAGCAGTGGAAACATTCTGCCAACTCATCTGGCTGTACACTCGGCAGCACAGGGACTGGATCACAGGAAACTCCCCAGATACATTTTGTTCGTTACTACTAGTCTAGGCGGAAAAAAAAAGGGAAATGGGCTGACGTTTGCTACATTCCTTTAAAAAGCATTGCTGCATTCTTAGTTTTGTTTTTTTGAACAAAAACTGTATAGGAAGAAATAACCGAGTCTAAAGGAAATCTCTGCTACAGTTTACAATAACAAAGTTAGTTGGCCATTAGTAAATATATTCTGTTAAAGGGGTATCTATGGTCAAAAACGAAAAATAAATGTGAAATGTATAACCATATCGATGTAGATGTTTGCAAAGATAGTTAGTGAAGATGTCCTTAGGATGTGCTACCTCAATGACACAATTTCACTACCTGAACTACAGCTGAACATTGTAACATTATCAGTGCTTGTTGGAAGCAATGCATGATGGGATATGTAGTCTTGAGATATTGAGATTGCATCACATCAAGCAGCAGTGAAAGAGATGCCAAGCAATCTAGGAATCCAGAAAGTTGGTGAAAGTGATGGGCAGACGGAAGGCAGCACTCACTAAATAAAAGGGATTTTTCTCAAGTAAGTTTTAATTGTATCATCAGCAACAACTCTAGTATGTATTCCTATTACAATGATGATGCTGTAACAGAGTATA